TTAATCCAGGGCCAATAGAGGTAGTTAATCCATGATCTATGGAAGTTGTTGCTTTTTATCTTGTGGAGGCAACCTTCCTTTGTTTTATGGAAGCACCGCAGTCCAATGGAAGCAGTTGTTTTCAACCCAATAGAGACAACAACTTCCGACTTTATGGAAATATTGTTCCGGGATGGAGGCCCTATAATCCGAGGGGTTGCTGCCCTAAAGTCCATGGAGGGAACTGCTTTCGACCCTGTGGAAGCACCACAATCCAATGGAAACTATTGTCTTCGGCTCTATTGAGGTAGCAGTCTTTGGCTCTAAGGCATGAATTTCCATTGTTGTTCGGCGGCTCCGTGGCCAAGGAGCTTTGGCTCCACTTTATTCTTTAAGTCTCCCTCACGTTCAGGTGCTCCAACACTAAGCTTAATTAAATTTTACTTATAATCCCTCCTCCACGGCTCCACGTGTAATAATTTAATGAGTTGAAATAGGGGAATTTGATGGCGATTTTAACAATTCGGTGCACGTAATTCACATGCATCATTTACAGCCTATGAAATTACCACTTAAGAATTAAATTAGTCACCTAATATGGTAACCGTTAATAAATTTGCAATCAACCGAACATATATATATAAACATATCCTAATATTAATTAAAAAATAATATTCGACAAGATGTGGCTCCATCCAACTTCAGCACAGTATTTAAAATAAAAGTTAGTAGTAGTAATAATAAAGACAATAAAGAGATGTATGTACGTGGCAAAGTAACATTGTGCCTTAGCCTAAGACAAATATATATATATATATATATATATATATATTCATGGAGGAACCTTTACCTTTCACTGTCAACTAACCCAACCATAAAATAAATAAATAAATAAACTAACACACTATCACTTATGAACTACGTACGGCCTATGTCATTGTGCACCACCCATTACTTAATACTTTGCTTTACGGTGAGGCGTCGTTATCCTGCCATTTTCTTTTTGGTTTAAAGAGTGAATAAATATATAAGTTGGTTCGAAATTATTTGAAAATAATTCGAATTTCGATGCACAAACCCAATTTGATAAAAGAGTAAATTGGATTCTAATTTGCCTTTCATTTTAGAGGTCGTTTCAAAAAATAAAATAAAATACTTCTAAATTATTTTTTTATTATAAGATCTCCCAATTTTCTTGCAAAAATATTACAATTAATTTATATTTTATTTGTATAAAATATTACATATAATAATAATTATTTCACCCAAAAATATCAAAATTAAATTTGTCCAAATAGTGTCTTGGTTTTTTATTTCAAATAAAAAATATTATTATTCATTATATATAGTTGCTTGCTGATTGGTATAATATATATATATATATATATTTAAATTAAAATAAAAATAAAAAATTCAATTTCAAGCCAAATCAAACAAGTCCAAATAATTTGTTTAATTATATTTTACACATATTTGATTATAGTATTTGAAATAGGTAAATATGCATTATGTGTTTTTTCTGTGATTTCTTTACTTGTTTTTTAATTTAATTAATTTATTAAAAAAATTCAAAAGGTGTGTTTGTTTTGAGTTTTAGTTTGAAAACATATTTTTATACAAAATATAAAAAATATAAAAATAATAAATACGTGTAATATATTAATTTTTTGATGAAATATGATAAACAGATTTGTAAAAAGAACACAACAAAAGTAAATATTAAACATTCACTCATCGACAAATTCACGACATATTTTTCATAATATTACAAAAATAAAATAAAATACAAGATTAAAAATATATATGCATATAAAACAAAAAAAATCCACAACACAAAACTAAATAGTACTGTTCCGTAAAAAGAGTAATATTTATTTTTTGCACGTAAATTTTTTAATATTAATATTATATTGGTTTATAGTAAAAAAAAGACAAAAATGCTCTCATTAGTTTGTGTGATAGGCATTAATGATGTTAGATAGGTAGTAAATTACTAAATTAAAAAATTGTATAATTTTTTTTGGACGGATTAAAATAAAAAATAGTATCATTCTTATGGGACGGAAGGAGTTTCAATGTTTATATTATCGCTTATCTCTACTCATTAACACCATAAATAAGTAAAATGAAAAATGCTAAACAAACCCAATAACTTTCTACTATTAGGGAGTTTGGATTTTGAATTAAGATTTAAATAGTAAAAATTTTGAATTAGAATAGTTGTATGATGTGATATAAATAAATGTTGATGTGATATTTTGAATGTAAAATTAATTTTTAATATAATATAAAAAATAAAAAATAATTAATATTTAATTTGGTATTTAAAAAAAAATGAATGAATAATAGAAATATGAGAAAATTCCCCGAAAGAACACAATTACCCTTCGTCCGGTAATATAACTATATATATATATACTCCTATATTTGTTCCTTCTATTTATTTTCAATCAATTTATAGTAATCAACTTTATCTAATAATTTTGTTGCTCCTATTATAATATCCTCTCTATCCTTTAATAATCTATATATCTTTATATTTTAATCCGTCTCATAATAACCATCTCTTTTTCAGTAATTATATTTTCTACTAATATTAAAAATATTCTTACAACTTACAATATATTACAGAAATGTAATTACCTTTATATTACACAATACTAATAAGGTTATTTTAGTTTTTTCTACTTTATTCATACCGCACTCTAATATAATACTAATATTTTTAAAATTACGTGCAACAAGGAGGAATGTACATCTTTGGAGTTCTGTAATAGATTAAGAAATAATACTCCCCCAGTCCGGCTCTAAGGGTCACATTTATCTTTTACGTCATTATATTTAACATTAAAAATATCCTTATTTAGTATAATTTTTTGCACAAATATCATTATAATAGTATTATAAAACATTAATAGAAGTATTTTTGTCATTTTTCTTTGATTTGTACTATGTTTTTATATAATAATTAATATTCAAAGATCAACTGGCAAAAAGTAAATGAGACCCTTATAGCCGGACGAAAGTAGTAATATTTTATTAGTTAACAGAGGTGTATATATATATATATTTTTACAATTTTACCCTTTCACTTTATGTATAAAATTATTGCATATGTAATGATATATTTATAATTTAAATAAAAGGTAATGGTATTTTGATATTAGTGTAGTGATTACTTTTACTAAAATAGTAAAAAAAAATACTTTTGAGTAGAAAAAAAAATGATAAAAGTAGTACTTTGAGTTGAAACAAAAGAAATACAACATAGATAAGAGAATAAAATCTTATATAATACATATAACTAAAAATATATTTATTAATAACCAACATAAATAAATTTTATAAAAAACTTAAATATAAATATAAATATTTATTTTTTAATGAAAAATATATAAACAAAAATGTTTTGAGTCAAACACATTAAAATGAAAAAAATATTCTTTGTAACGAGAGAATATTGTTTTTATAAAACATTTTAAATAAAATAATTAATTAATTAATACTCCCTCCGTCCACTTCGGGTGTGTTTGTTTGGGGGATTGGATTGAATTTATGCTATTCATCCAATTTTTTCCCCCAAAAAACATCAAATCAAACACCTATTTTTTATTTTTTATATTATACTAAAAATCAATTTTACATTCAAAACATCACATCAACACTTATTTATATCACGTCATACAACTATTCAAATTCAAAATTTTTACTATTCAAATCCCAACTCAAAATCCAAACCCTCAAACAAACACACCCTAAATGTTTACATATTTCTATTTTGGGACATCCAATTACAAAGTTAATATTTCATTAAATACTCTATTTTTTTTCACAAATATCCTTACTTTACATCAAATCATTACTTTCCACAAAAAAGTAAGGACAAAAATGTCATTACACTACTTTTAATTACTCACTGTAATTAAAATACAATTATTTCTTAAACATCGCTCCAAAAATAAATGTAAATATTGTAAGTGGGCCGAGGGAGTATTAATTTATTGTCAAGAGAATTTTTTTGATGAAGTTACTTAAAACCCAGATAAACGAACTGTGAAATTTCCCAATCATAAATCAATTTTATTGCACCATTTAGCATCATGCTGTACTAAGGTGGCCACTGATGGATCTATAGTGTGGTAAAACATCAGCAATCTTTCAAACTTTTTAAGAGGCACTATTTATACAATCATTATACAAATTTTAATTCGGCTTAATTTTCCAAATAGCAGAATACTTTTTTCTCTCTTATCTATTTATCCATTTGGGTTTTTAAAAATATTAATATAATATTAAGGTGCAGTAGAAATAAAGATAATAAACTAAACTAACTTTATTAGTATTGTATAATATAAAAATAATAATATTTGTATAATATATTTTAAATTGGAAGAATATCTGCAATAAACAGTACAGTTACTAAAAAGAAAATTAATATTTTGTTATGGGACGGACCAAAATAGAAAAATGAATAAATTGTTAAGGAACAAATGGTATAATAAGTAAAAATAAAGGTAAAGTATGATATAAAGATCATTATATTTGTATAATATATTATAAATTAGAAGGGTATTTGTAATGTTAAGTAGATAGTATAATTACTAAAAAAAAGAAATGAATATTTTGTTATGAGACATACCAAAATGAAAAAATAAATAAATTGTTAAGGGACGGAGGAAGTATAAGGTAAATTATATAACACCCCTCTGTGTTTATAATAAAAATGTACAAAACACTTGTATTTTATTTATTGCATGAAACTCTCTTATATTAATATAAAAAATTTGCGTGAAAGCCCCTACTATTATAAATAAAAATTTAAATTATTCAAGTTTAATACAAATTAAAAAAAAAACGTAAAATACAAATTTTATATTAACAATTATACGCATTGAAAACATTAGTCTTGTTGCATAAAGAAAGTATACTAATTTTTTAATAAGAAAAAACACGGTATAGAATGAAATTCATTCAAGAAATAGCTTTTGAAGCAATTAATTTTGAAAATACAAGTAAACAAATTAAGAACACCCGAAATTAGATGAAAAGTCCAATGAAACTTATTAAAGTCCAAATAATAACAAACAACATGAATTGTTCTCCCCAATACTGTACACCAAAAGAATCGATGGTCCCAAGAATTAAAAAATTAAAAAATTAAACCAAAACAAAAAACAGCTGGAACGTGCCAGCAAATTAGTGGGCGAAAGCCAGTTGTTCCCGACGCTGATAATGTTGTACCTTCCTGAATCCCTTGTCGTACAGATCATAGGGTTCCCAGAGATGATCCAGCGGGCAGGGCCTCCCCTCATCTAGCCTGACCCATGGCTTGCCCTTCCCGCTCCAGTGCAGCAGGCTGACCGGACCAGGATGCAGATCCCGGCACGAACCGGCCACGTTGTTCCCTCCCAGACCGTGCTGGTTCCACCGGTGGTCGATGGCCTCCACGTCGCCGGCGAACACCAGCAGGAACGGCGGCAGTGAACCAAGCTCGTAGATCCTACGCTTTCTCTGAACTTCCATCCAATTCTCTATCCTTTTCCGAAAATGCCCCTCCCTCCATTTCTCCAAATCCATTATCATTACCCCTGTGTTGAAGTAGCAGGGCTTCCTCGACCCGAATACCCGCCGGCTGAGCGCCGGATCGGACCAGAAAGCGTCGGTGAAGTACTTGGTGAAATTGGCGTGGCAGTACTCCGGAGCCCCGATTACCCGCCCGCCCGAGATCTTCACTTCCCAGAGCTTGAAGATGTCGTCGACCAGAACGAGATCCGAATCCAGGTACACGACCCGCTTGACGCACGGGTCGAGTATGTCGCCCAGATAATTCCGGGCGTAGTTCAACGGGTTCTCCAACGCCGACCGGATCGACGACGAGATTAGGTTGATGACGGTGTCTTCACGGAATATATAGATTTTGAAATTTAGCGACGGAAAAACGGATCTGACGAGTCGACTCAACTCGCGGGGACTCACTGAGTCGAACTCGCCGGCGATGAGGTGGAAGAAGATTCGCTCCGGGCAAGACGCGTGGCGGAGGACGGAGTGGACCGCCGCAACGGAGCCGCGTAGGTACGCGGAGTCAAGGGTCATTGCCACGTGCACTAACGACATGTCACGTGACATCGGGAAATCCGTCGCCGTTGACGGACATTCGACGCCGTTACGGTAATCGGGAGCCTCCGTGAAGCCCGATAGAAAAGTGAAGTCACCTCCTCCGGTGGGAAACAAACGGATTGCTACAGAAATCGACGGCGCACAGAGCAGCAGCAGGAATCCGACGGCTGGGAGTGCCCCAGCACAGAACCGGAAAAGAAGCATTTTTTCATCCGCGAAATACTGCGATTAAACTCCTATCAGTATATATATAAATCGAATTAAATATTGTTTTGGGTCTGGTAAGGAAAGATTCGAGAAGAAAATTGGAAGGCAACTGGAGACAGCCGTCACAGCTGTAAATACAGTGTATAAATACGTAATTATCGAACGCGTATTGGTTTACCATGGAATTTGTTTACCCAAAGTTTTTTTTATTTCCAATATATATATATATTTTATTATTTCATAAAAATAATATTTAACATAAAATATTATTCAAATAAAAAAAAAAAAATTGAATACGCGGTTTCCATTGGTAAATGTCAGAGTGACAGACGCACAGGCAGGCAATCAATTTCACTAATTCGGCAGATATTTACTGAGTGGTTATTATTTTCCATTATGACCAATAATTACTATTTGCTGTCGCCGCCTCCATTTTCCATCTTTTTCACTTTTCGGATTATTATTATTATTATTAGTATATATTATTATCATTATTAACCAAATCGAACGCTATAATACAGAGTTTATCCACTCCTATGCAATAAATGCGAGATTCTTGGGAGACCAGGGATCTCGACTCCTGGTAAATCTACACTGTTCATCGTACCCAGCATGGCCGTTGGATGTTCGTTAGAGAGTTGTTTGGCACTGAGATTAGCATTCCGATTTATTGTTCGTATTTCACAATTTTGAAATCTTGTAGAAAATCGATTCAAATAAAGTCAAATTGTCCGAATTCAAAGAAAGTTAAGGACGTGGTTTTTTGCTCTTCTCTTTCACATATTTTTAAGAAAATTAATATATTATATATTTATTATTTTTATATTCTTACACAATTTTCTATATTTTATAGATGATGTTCAATATTTTATTATATTTTTTAAAAATAATAGTTAAAATAAAATATTATTTTTTATATTATCCATAATTTTTTATATCTTATATAAAAATATTTTAAATTAAAAACTAAACAAACAAACTTTTAAAATTAAATTAAAATTCTCAAATTACATAATATTTTTAAAAGTTCGAAAAATCGGTTTTTTCTTAATTAAATAAAATCATTAATAAACAAATAATGTCCAACAAACCAAAAGCAACTAATACCAAATAAAAATTATCTACTTTTAAATACCATCAAACAAACATTAAATAAAAAAATAATAATAATAATAATAAAACCTCCAAAGAATGCAACATGTACATATACTCATTTTAATATTTTTTTTAAAAAAAATTTCAATCCAAACTAATTCAAAAATATAAATTTTAAATTTTGATTTAATAATTACATATTTGCATTTGTAATATTTTGCTCACTCTAATTTGATCAAAAAAATGTGCATGATTATTATAAAATAAAGTAAACTATCAAAATGTACGAAGTAAGCATCTGAATCAGCCAATATTCCAACAAATTTATTCAAATAATAGCCATCATATAAACAATAGTAAGTGGTGGATCATGGCGACGTAGGGGTTGGACTTGTGATCGTTAGGTCATGGTTCGCTTAGTGTGATTTTTTCGTCGGGCCTGATTTGCAGTATATTGAGTTGGGCCGGGAGTTTACCCGGTGTGCACTTTCGGATAGCAACTGCGGTTTCCTATGTCATAAAAAAAAATAGTAAGTGGTGAATCGTTCGGTTGGACCTCGACGCCTCAGGTCATCTGTCACACATGATTCGGTTTTGGGATTAGAAAGCTTTAAATGAAACTTTTTATATTGGGATTAGATAAATTGGTTAGAGAGTTCAAATTAAGGCAAGTCTTTTGTTAGTAATCAATACACAAACACTCTTTGATTCTTTTTACATCCACTGTGGACCCATTGAATTGCATTGTGGTCTACACATAGTGATTTATACTTCAAAAATAAAAAATTAAAAAAAAAAATCTTGGGTCTAATTGATAATAAAAAAAATTTATATTTAATATTTAATATAATATCTTATGTGAAAAATAAGTATTTCGTATGTGTTTGTTTGGGGGTTTGGATTTTGGATTGGGATTTGAATAGTAAAAATTTTGAATTTGAATAGTTATATGATGTGATATAAATAGGTGTTGATGTGATGTTTTAAATGTAAAATTGATTTTTAGTATAATTAAAAAATGAAAAATAGGTGTTTGATTTGATATTTTTGGAAAAAAAAATTGGATGAATAGTTGAATTTAAATCCAATCCCTCAAACAAACACACCCTTAGTATTATTGTAGATGAATAATATTAAAAATAAATTTTCATATATGTAAACAAACATTAGTTCTTTGATTCTTTAAGCCTTATATAGCTAATATATATTACTCTATTCGTCCTATAAAAGCATGCTTAATTTTTTTGGTAAGAAAATTAAAAAAATATATATTTTAATATTATTTTTATCAACAATTTCACAAGAAAAATTTACCAAAATTACTAATGGTGTGTTTGTTGGGGGCTTTGAATTTTGAGTTGAGATTTAAATAATAAAAATTTTGAATTGAAATTATTGTATAATGTGATATAAATAGATTTTGACGTGATATTTTGAATGTAAATTGACTTTTAGAATAACATAAAAAAATAAAAAATTGGTGTTTGATTTGATATTTTTTAGAAAAAAAAATTAATGAATAATAAATTTTTGGAAAAATCACCAAACAAAATTTTGTAGACATTAGCCCATCATACAATCACTCAAACAAAATTTCCTTCTTTCTCGTCTGCGGTTGCCTTCAGTTCGGTTGCATAGTTTGTTTCTTTCATTGTAAATTTATATATTATTTATATCTATCTAATAATATTTTTGTTAAGCACAAAAAATAATAATAATAGTAAGTGGCAGTAGGATTCTGGGTAGGGTCTGAATGAAAGCCAAAAGGTCTGGAGGTCCGGCAGAATAAAGGTCGGGAAAAGGAAGAAAGGTCGGGCGGAGTCTAAAAAAAAAGGTGTACCCAAGTCGGGTAAACCGTAGATCGGATGGAAGGCGAAGTCGGGCAGACGCGGAGGTCTGTCAAGAGGAAGGTCGGGCAGACGCGGAGGTCTGTCAAGAGGAAGGTCGGGCAAGGAAGAGGTACGGACAGACGCGGAGGTCTTCGGTCAAAGACGGAGGGCGGCTGATGCGGAGGTCGGCCAAGTGTCAAAGACGGAGGGCGGCTGATGCGGAGGTCGGCCAAGTGAGGTCGGGCGAAGAAGCAGGTCGGGCGAAGGACGAAGTCGGGCAAAAGAAATTTGGCAGTGGACAGGCAGGTCGGGTAAGAGGCAGGTCTGAGTTCTGTGACTGGTGGGAACGGTTGAAGGAAGTTGTAATACGTGTCAATAGAGGAGAAATTGGTGGTCGGTTGACAGCGGTTGCTGTAACCGACCAGACGGCGGTTCAAACCGTTTTCTTCAAAGGTTATTTAAGGATTCAGATTTATTCTGAAAAGGCATCTTCAATCAACTTCAACAAAGCAAAGTCAGATTTGGGGATCACCACTTTAAATTTCAGTCTTTTATTTTCCAGTTTATTTTCTGTACCATACAGTGTTTAGAGATTCCTAATCTCAGGCACTAATTAATCAAGTTTAAGGATATTTTCTATATCTTTGAATTTTACTTTATTTTTGTTGAAAAATTACATCAACAAATTGGCGACCACAGTGGGAGCAAGACAAAATTGCTCATTCCAATTCCGGCGATAATTACATACGTCTAAGATCCGGCCGTATCATCGGAAGGGTCCATATGGCAGGTTCACAACCTCAATCATCGTCGGCACCGGTGGGAGAATCCGTTCCACCACCTAATGTGCCAAATGCCGGGGAAATCCCACAACCACCAACAGATTGGTGGTCTTATGTTCAACAAATGTTGCGTGAGCAACAAACGAACATGTTGCGTGAGCAACAGAGCATGATGCAGACCATGATAGATCAAGCACTGTCTAGGGTTAGTCTTCAACCCACTCAAACTCCACCAGGAGTATCACCATCCAGACTACAGGCAAATGTCGCAGGGCCATCATTCGTGGATAGTGCATTTCCAAGCGTCACAACTTTCAACCGAACAGATATGGGGAAGATTCCTCTAACTTTCCCAGATAATGTTCCTTTGGGACCGAGGGTTGATAATACCCAGCCGAATGAGAGATTAGGAGGACAGACTCATAATCCCATTCCAACCGAACCAGCCTTCTCTAGAGAAGAAAGGTTGGAGGGACAGACTCATAATCCCATCCCAGCCGAACCAGCCTTCTCCAGAGAAGAAAGATTGGGAGGTCAGACTCACGATCACATTCCAGTGTTCGACCATATTCCACCCAGAGTAGATCCGGAGGATATTGCTCAAGTTCTGCGGGTGCATTTCGGAATGAATCCGCAAACGGTGAACAGGCCGGTTTACCAGAGGCCATTTCCAGAAAGGATCATTAACGATCATCCTCTCCCGAGAAATTATAGGCCACCAGACTTCTATTCTTTTTCGGGAGAAGACGGAGCCTCTACCATTGAGCATGTGGGTCGCTTCACGGCTCAATTGGGAGAAGTAGGCAACAATCCGTTTCACAAGTTACAATTGTTTGGGTTGTCGCTCACAAGAACAGCTTTTTCTTGGTATGTCAGTCTGCCGCCTGGACAGTTGCAAATTTGGGAAGATTTAGAGGCAGATTTTCATGGAAGGTTCTTTAATCCTCTGCCGACAGTCTCACTGATAGACCTTCTGGAGATCACGCAGATGCCGGAAGAGACCGGCTACCAATTCATAGAGAGGATGCGATTGATGAAGGGACGATGTCCTACGATGATCAATGAAAGCGAAATGACCAATTTGGTGGTCAGGAACATGCATACCAGACTTCGCGAGGCCCTGACAGCCCACGATTTTCAAGATCTGGCCAGTTTAGCATCCACGACAAGAAGGTTAGAATCCTTTTTTACAGAAATTAATCATGACTTCCGTCAGGGGGGAGATGCTGAAGCAATGTTAGTGCAAGATCGACCAACGTCCAGGCCAGCACCATTCCGCGATAAATGGAGGTCGGGTCCAACGTAGCCTCGAAGGATGGAGGTCGGATCTGAGGCTGACGTAGCCTCGGATGCCGGCCTGCAAACTCCTAAAACAT